TTAAAATTTGCCCAAAGGAATACTACACTATAGAAAATCACATACTTCTAGTAAAATAAAATTTTTTAAGTTTACAAGATCAAATCTTTGCTGTTTAGCCATGATAGCAGAAACCTTTGTTCTCCCTGAAAGGATCAAGTATTTATTTGGTAATTCTTTTTCAGGTGTTTATTTCACAGTTGTTTTTTTCCTATCCTCTTCCTTATCTGTCTTCCTAGCAATGCCACCATAAAGCTCACAGTACCATTACACAAAAAAGTTATTTTTTTAGGCTAATTATTTCATTTTTTATGTTGGAGGTTTTGTTCTGTTGTTTGTTTTTGTTTGTTTGTTTTTGATGGTAGTTGTGTCTTTGCTTGGTTAGTTTGGATTTGTTTGGGTTTTTTTTGTTTGGTTGGTTGGTTAGTTAGTTAAAAGACCTGACTTCTTTCTATTTCTCTAAAGGAATTTCTTTACAAAGATATTTCCAAAGATTTTTTTCTATAGTTGGATTTAAATGAACAATTTAACAACAAGGAGGGTTGTGCTTACCCTTCCAAAAAAATTCCTCATTTTAAACAAACTGGAACGTTTTCTTCTTGGCTGAAAAGCAAAAGCATAAGGTATTCAGCAGAGTTAGAGTGAATACATAGATAAGTTAATCCACATTCTCATGTGTGAGAAAATTCAAAAATCTCCAAATAGTAGAATTGGAGGGTTTAATATAAGAATATTATTGAAAACAAAGCTTTTATTCTTACTTTAACTTTGAAATATTTCATGTTATAATAAATGAAATCTCTGTTTTACCTCCTAAATCATCACAGTGAATAAGGCCAAATACCTTAGTAAAGGAAACTTAACATGGCTTTAAGAAAAAAATATTAATTTGTTCTTCAGTGAGCTACATAGAGATTGGGATCATGTTTACTGTGCTGTAGAAAAAGAACTTTTCTCAAAATCAGTGTTAAGGTCCAATTTTTAGGATGTGCCATTAGTAAACTCATGAAAAAGTTCTACTGGGTAATACTGGTGTGAGAGACCTTTTAGAAAACCGCTATAAGGTTAAGAGTTGAATCCAAAATAGGCTTTATATCACTGACATTCAAGTATTCCATCTAAGTCCTTACCTCAACCAGTAGATTAAAATGAACTGATTTACTACAAGCAGCAACATTTCTACAATATAAAATCTTGAAACTTGACAGTAATGCATGTGAGAGTGCAGAAATACTTCTGAATGCACACCTGCATCCTTTATTTGTTTTTCTCACAGTCAATAATTCTCTCAAAGTAGTGACATGGTTTTTGTAATTAATCATAAATACAAGTAATTAAAAACTACCAAAAACATAAGCTACTGTTTGTTTATTTAGATATCTTTCTCATTAGCAACGTATTCAGAGCAGGAATACAGGAATACATTCAGGATATGTTTCTAAACAAGACACCAATTAATAACAGAGTACAGTCCTACATCACCTAACATTATAATTGTATTCCAGCAAAAGAAGAATCCAAGAGTTCAGGTGCCCTCATCCCTGAGAACTAATTATTGATCAGAAACACTTCCTCTGCAAACCATGTAATACCACATAAAGGTCACCATGGACAGCACAAATTGCTTTTATTGAACAGTATAGTGAAGAGGCATTAAAGGCAAAAAAGCACCTTTATGTTGTTTTGGCAAGCAGTTGATTGTGACTGTGTAGTTCATAGTTCTGAAATCTGAAATTGTAACACTGGCTCTCCTGAGTACCTAAGACTATTTGCTTTGGGAGTTCAGTATCTCCCAAATGAATCAGGCTGAGCAATCTGTTTGCACAGAACAATAAAACATTAAAAGAGTAATGAAATGCATCTGCAATGTATTTTTTGAACATCTACACAGGTGAAGGGAGTGACTCTTTAGAAGACAAATATCCACTTGATTATGTCAGACACTTTAATTCACATTTTGTTATTTGATTGATAATAACTGGTAAATCCTACTTCAAAACAGATTATTTAAATAAAACAATATTTATAAGTGACCGTACCATAAAAAAAACCTCAAAACAAATAGATGTAAAAGTCCCCAATCATACTAAATAAATTAGGAAATAAAATGTTTTGATCCTTCTGAAGCTAAATTTTGTTCCATCTCTTCTTTTGAAGGAAAAGATGTTCCACAAAATTGAAATACTCAGAAATACAATACTCAGATTGTACAGAAAACTCCTAACAGCATCGACTAAATCTGAAAAGAAATATGCAGTTTTTAAGACAGTTAATGTTTAATGCCTTGTTCCACCATTGCTGTTGACACCACTCAGAAATTAGAAATCAAGAAAACACAATATATGGGAAAAGGTTAAGAGTTTGGTTTATATGAAAGCCAACAAAGAGAGCTATTTTGTAATGCTCTTCAGGCAAGTACAAACTTACTGCTAAGAAGAAACAAACAACATATTTTCTATCTCCCTAATGAATAGGACAGAAATATTTAGTTGTAGCAGTTGTTATTATAATATTTTCAGATGAAGTATTAAGATAAACTTTTCAACTGTGAAAATTATTAAGCACCAGCCTCTAGAGGCTATACAACATCTAGCCTTGGAAGTTGTTAATTATAGGCTAGTACAGTATCAGGAATAGCCACTGGTACCATGGGCATGTTCTTGGCCAGGGCAGTTGACTTTTTCAAGTTCTTTGGTCTTCTATGCTTTCCCTGTGGCTCGTTTTTGTTTGTCATACCATTTCAAGGTTTTCTCCAAGCAGTGTCTAGCCCCAGTCTTCATTACTGCAGAATCCAGTTTGAGACAGCATCTACAGTCTTCTTTACAAGAGAATCATAGAATCATAGAATCAGCCAGGTTGGAAAAGACCTCCAAGATCATCAAGTCCAACTCTTGATCCAACACCGCCGTGGTTACTAGACCATGGTACGAAGTGCCACATCCAGTCTCATCTTAAAAACCTCCAGGGACAGAGAATCCACCACTTCCCTGGGTAGCCCGCTCCAATGCCTGATTACCCTCTCTGTAAAGAATTTCTTCCTAATATCTAAGCTAAACCTCCCCTGGCAGGGCTTAAGACCATGCCCTCTTGTCGTGCTGATAGTTGTCTGGGAGAAGAGACCGACACCCACCTGGCTACAACGTCCTTGCAGGTAGAGTGATGAGGTCTCCCCTGAGCCTCCTCTTCTCCAGGCTAAACAACCCCAGCTCATAGCTGAGGTAATTCACAATTCATGCATGACAATGATCACTGATATAACTAAAATAGCAAGGGATATCAGTTTTAAAGTGTCTAAAACCAATTGTATCCCCATCTGAGACTTAGAAGATACTTATCTAACAATATCAAATGGCATGTTTAGGTTCCTTATGGGGTTTTTTTTCCTTTCTCATGTGGCACTCGTTGCTCAGGCAATAAGATAGCGTATTAAATAGGATCAGAATATCCTTGTGTCACACTGTGCTGCTAGATGATGCACAGAGAGACTTCTTGAAGTCAGAAGATGAAAATATATATCCTTCAGAGAGGAAATGGCCAAGTTTTTTAAGCTATGAAAGTATAACACTAAATACTTGAAGAGCATGGAATCCCCTGTATCATACTCAGCATTTAGGCATCCTTGAGACCGTGAAAAAGCCAAAGTACTGTACAAGTAAGGGCCTTTCTAGACAGCAAATGAAGATGGAATATATCTATGGCCAGTGATGTTCACTTTGGCTTATCCAAAGAAAAGGGATAGAGAAGATGTGTAGAAATTCCCACAAAGAATGAAAATGAAGCAAAACAGACACTTGACGGTAACAGAGGGAGCTGCAGAGAGATGAAAATGGATGGGTGGCTGCTTAGGGAATAAAACAACAGCCCCAAATCATTCTGCTGGAAATCAGCTGACAAACCTGGGTAAATAATTCTGTCATTCAAAAACAAAAGCAAAAACTGAAGTGTGATTTTCAAGCTCTGCTTCACTGTCTAGCATATATAGACATGAGATGTGGAGACACATAAAGATGTACATTTACATTTCAACAGCTAACTGAAGCTGTCTACATCCAAGTACAGACCTTCACCTCAAGTACAAACTGATCTGGTTATTGTTCTGCAGTTTTGAATCTCGACTGTTGCATCTATAGATGGTAAACTTAAATGAGTTTATTTTCCTATTTACCCTCAGTCATAACTCTCTAAAAGTCAGCAGCATTACCATTTCAAAAGGAATTTAACTGATACTGTAAGTTTAACTCATACTGTAGTAATCAAACATCACAGAGGGAAATTCGTATGCTCTGACCTACCTTCAGGTAGATTAGAACACTATGCTTTCATTCACGTTGTTGAAGACATTTTATTTTGGGTCAATATTTGTTCTAAATTAGATCAAAATCAGGCCTAGTGTTAATACTTTTCACATCTTTTTTCTTTTCCCCCACCATGAGGTAGATCAAATAAAAGCAAAACAAAAATCCACCAAAAAATAAGAAACCTCTAAAGTCCAGAGTTCTCCCTTCTATGATGATCACCAAACTGCCCAACATTAGCAAAATCTTGCTCTATTTGTGAATATATTTCTAATTTAAAATTTCCTAAGACAGCCAAAATCTGGAACAAATATCAATCAAAAATGCATATCAAAGCCTCTAATTAATGTCACTTGAAATTTTTTAAAAAAAATCCATCAAACAAAAGAAGTTATTTTTCAACTAATGTTGTCCTTTAACAAACAGTTAAAGGATAAATAGAGATATAATTAATTAGATTTTAAATCATTCAGTTAGTGAAAAATAAACTTAATGTCCTTGATAGGATTTTGGGTTTGGTATTGATTTCCCTATTTTTAGCCAGAGAAAATCAAATACTCCAATTCGCTATGGTATGATCGCAAAGTTTAAACTTCTGAGCAAATGTGAAGAAAATCACTGTTTGTAACACAATATTGTCTAAAAATCCAAAGGAATAATTTTTGTCACCAGGAGTCTGGAAGAAATACTATTTTAGGAAAGACTGAAGGAGTTACTTGAGTAGAAAGTTTATTAAGTAACACAAATCATGAACATTTTCATATATTTTATGCCCACTGTTTCCGCATCCAAATCCTTTACCTACAATTCAGAGTAAATAACAAGGACTAATTTTCTGATATTGGGAGTGTTAAATAAATGCTTGCAGAAAAAGTTGGCAGCTTCATTGTTTAGAGACTTTCAGCACTAAAATAAATCATAGCAGCAGCTCAACGATGGCCTCAGAGACCTTGTTTTTGTTCTCCTTCATACAAAGCCACCTTCTGTGCTTGCTGTGCCTGAATCCTCCTTCTAGCTAGAAAAGAGCAGAGAAAGAAAAATCTATTTCAAGACAACTTTTGATATTCCAAAATTTGCTTTTATTTTTCATTCAGACAAATGTCATGTCTATCATTCATTTGTAAAAAAAAAGAAAAAAAGAGAAATGTCTGGGGTGGCAGTTCATGTAGTTTCATTACTGAAGGATACTAATCTGAAAAGGATGAAATGTACTGAGTGATTCAGTTTGTCTGGGTTCAAGGATGTGTTTCATCTCCAAATTGAGATGTGGAATTCAATGTAGATACCTACATGTGGATGTGTAATGCCATTTGAAATATTTGCTGCTAACCTCCAGCTGTTGTTCCAGGGTGACACAGGACTCCCCTCAATCTTTTGTCACTTCTGCCAATTGTGAGGGTTTGGATTTGGATGCTTTGGTGCACCTCAAACACTATTATGCATGTATGTAAAGCAACTAACTGAAAAGTTAGGAAGGATTGTCATGGTTTAACCCCAGACAACAACTAAGCCCCACACAGTTGCTCACTCACTCACTCACTCATGTTCCCTCAGTGGGATGGGGGGGGGGGAATTGGGAGGGTAAAAGTGAAAAAACTCGAAGGTTGAGATAAAGACAATTTAAGTAAAGCAGAAGCCATGCAAACAAGCAAAACAAAACAGGGAATTAAATTGCTCCTTCCCATGGGCAATGGGTATAGCCACCCCCGGGAAATCAGGGCTCAATCAGTCATATCAGAAACTTGGGAAGACAAACACCGTCACTTCAAATGTCTGTTCCCCTTCCTCCTTCTTCCTCCTATTTTATATACTGAGAATTATGTTTTATGGTATGGAATATCTCTTTGGTCAGTTGGGGTCAGCTGTCCCAGATGTGGCCCCTTCTAACTCCCTGTGCATCCCAGTCCCCTTGATGGTGGGCTGATGCTGTGTAAACGTTGCTCAGTGATAATGAAAAAATCAGTGTTATCAACACTGTTTTCAGCACAAATCCAAAACATAGCCCCATACTATGAGGAACATAAACTCTATCCCAGAAAAAATCAGCACAGAAATTAATTTTGAGGTTAGACACTTAAATTTCAGTGTTTATATGTGAACCAGATACACAAGTTTGCACAGTGGTCCGTGGGGATTAAGTCAGTGCAGCCAGGGATGTTCAGAATACTCCTCAGCTCATTCCGAAGTAGACTGTGCTGAACTGAGCCTGTGGTCTTTACAGAGCACAGGTTACCTTCAAACAGCTATCTAAATTCACATTTTAATCAAAAGAGATCATGTCAATACAGTCAATGGAGTAGAGAGAGGAATTCATCTTATTTTAAAGCAGATGGCTGTGTATTTTAGACTCCACTGCCTGTATTGAATCCCATTTACTAAAATGGAAATCCACACTCCTCTGTCATAAGTAGATGGCTAACCCTGTGGACATGAAATGTCAGTGGGAGGAATCCAACCTCTACTTTAAAATCTTGATTCAGGACATCATTTTTATTCATATCAGTCTCTTTAGAAACACTCAAATGCACGTTTCTTCATATCGGAGACCAGCTGGGACATGCACAAAAGTGTCTATTCACATATAGTAGCCTTTTTTAAGGAAAGTTGGAACTAAAGACTTCACAGTCAAGAACTTTGTAGAGCCAAAGCATGGCTTTTCAATTACGGTAATTTTTGATTAAAATCTTTTACTTAGGTCTATTAATATTATTTCTCTCTTCCAGAATTCAAGTAGGTCTCTTAGAGAAGGTGTATAATAAGTTTTCTTCCACAATATTTCAACAAAAATATACCAGTTCTGAAATTCACAGTTTCAAAGATTTTCCTTGCAGGTAGCAAGCCCAAAAACACAGAAATTTTCAAGACTTTTAGTTGATTAAAATTCTTATGAAAGAGCTTAAATTTTAGGTAATATTGATGACTATTTCATTTCAATTTAAGAGCACCTTTTTAAATTAAACTAAAATTAGGAGCCACAAACCCAGCATTATCCCCAAAGTAATGGACACATACTTCCATGAATCTCTGTAATTTCCCTTCCAGTTGTTTTTTTTCCCTGTTGTAGTCAGATATCTATGCTGACAGAAAATTCTAAACGTGCAAGGCACTTAATTACTCAATTTCAGCAATAATATATCTTAGATGAACAACATTCTTGGTACTGGAATGTAATAAACATATATGTGTGTATCTGTGCATGCATTTGTATAAATAAGCAGAATGATATAAATGGGTTTAAATGCATTTATCAATTAAAGAATTATATTCAAATCTTCCTGAAATGCAACACTTAAAAAAAAAATTCAAGAAAAAACAAACAACTTCTAGACATTAGTGGCCATTTACATAACATCATTTCACCATATGACTTATAACTGGAGTTGAAACCTTATATGGCCTCAGTACCTTTTAAAATATTCTGCTGATATGATTTATTTTAACTGGACACAATGAGTTTTTATTTCTGGATGCATAAAATATGAATATTGGCAATATAATAAGGATCTAGGAAAAACTATGCATGTTTTAGATTGCAAACCATTGCATCGTTTCAAGGGAAACCTATGCAAAATTGTATTGGAAATAGTACAAATGTCGCTTGAATCCTATTTCGCATATAGGTCTTTAAAAGGAAATGTGTCTGAGGAAAATTGCCTCAGAGCTACTGAAATGGGCTCTGAGGTGACAAGGTATCATAATGAATAGTGTAGAAGTGTTATTTAGCTATTACTTGATAGAAGTTTTTCATTATTTTCTTACATCCTGAAGATGAACCATGGAACAGGGATATGGAAGATAAACTATTTCTCTACATGACCCTTGGTCATTCACTAGCTAAGAATTATGAAGACTTTGTTATCTACCTCTATATCAAAAACTATTTGACTCTTGGTTTTACTAGAGCTGACTTTTTTATTTTTGGTCATAACTTCACGAAAAATTAGCACTTTTCAATATTTATATCCTATCATATGAAATGTCAAATAATAGCTTAAGGAATTGTTATACCCAAATGAGTAGCAGGAGACTTTGCCAATGCATTTATGAGATAATTCCAAAAAGCCTGGGACTATAGAAATAAGCTGGAATTATTTGTGACACAAAATAAATGATTAATAAAACAAACCTATGTTTACTTTATGGAACTTTATAACTTGGCCTCTCAATTGTTTTTTTTCTTTTTGAGAGTTAAATTTGGAGAGTAATAGAATGGTCCTGTCCTAGCTAAAGCAAACTCACGTCTAGTCATCCACACTCCCCATCCTTCTTTCATCGATATATCATTGAAGGAAGATCCTTCTACAGTTAAAAGTTGCCTGATAGTCTTGTTGCAGTTGGCCAGTCAAAGGTCCCTTTAGTTAAGGTATATCCAGATAATGCCAACAAGAAGCAATGAATGGATGTGGTAGACATATTTGTCCTTTAAATTTATTTATATTTTATAATTTTAAAATTATTTAAATTTAGGGTTTAAAGACGTCCTTTTTTTTGAAATAAACTACATGTTCTTTTTAAAAAGCCTTTAAAATTGGATGATGACTTTTCAGAATCAGAACATTTGCACAATGTTCTTCCATCTACGGCAAAAGGCTCCAGTGAATTTCTCTGAACTCTTTTCCCAACCTTCTCTTTTGTAACACAGTTTTACCTAAAAGTATTTTGGCTGCCTAGGACCAGGCTGTCTATAGACAACCTGAATGAATGGATGGACATAAGCACTTTATAAGTACTTTTTCAAAAAAAAGTGCATGTGATAGTGATAAGGCTATAGTGATAAATCTGCTTAACAAAGAATATTGAAATTTTCTAGAACAAAAGTAATAGTTTCATTAATATATGCCTTCTGTTATGCAGCAATGTTTTACTGCTCTGGAACATTACAGAAGTTGTAAATACATTAAAAAAAAAGATGAAGTTGACAGAAAGTAGTAAAAATATGTGAAGTAATAAACCAGTGCATTTTCTTTGCAGAAAATCTTCATGTACACAACGAAGACACATAACCTTCTTAAATATGCTACAAAGAATGTTCACCAATTTAAAAGAAATTGATTATACTAATGCAATGGTAATTCAAAACTCAGTAAGCAAGGCTGTGGATCAGAATCTGTCAGCTTTTTACAAAGTCAAAAGACATTATCAGTCAAACTAGCTAGTTAACTTTAAGCTTAAAACTTTTTAATGGATAACTGCTGCATTTATTTATAACTCAGGGTTCTTGCTCTCATGACAGAATCACAGAATCATTTAGGTTGGAAAAACCTCTAAGATTATCAAGTTCAACCTTTGACTGACCACGACCCTGCTGTATTTTATGATAGGAATTATAGAAAAGGAATTTACAGCAACTGCAATAATTCTGAAAAACATGATTTCTGCAGTTTCGACCTGTCTTGATAGACTGAAGGGAGGGTGATGAAAACTGCAATCTTAATAAATCTCCTGAAGCTAAAGATTTAAAACTCACGCTGTTTCAAATTAGTGAGGACAGCAATATTTATTTGCTGTTGAATTCTAGCCAGCATGACATTTCAGCAGGAAACACTTTATAAGACTTCAACTTATGATCACAAAAGTTGCAAATGTGTACTTAAACCATGCATAACTATGAGGGTTTGCGTATTGAAAAAAAAGATGAGTAAAACTGATTGCCATTCCTGTCTTTGATCTTTCCAGAATCAGAAAGCTACATGTGGATTGCAAGCAAAGGAAGCCTAGAAAGGACAGGAAACAAAGACAGCACACACATTGTCATCCCTGCATTCTTGGGAGCAACTGAACAACATTACAGTCCATCAGATCCAGTGCTTTCCAGCAGGTTGTCTCTGTTAAATAACAACTAGGAAGATGTGGATCCTGCTGACATCTTTCTTATTTGTCTGTTTGTTTGCTTGTTTTCTAGAGTTGGATGGCTAGCTAGCAGAAGAAAACAGAGAGTAAAACTCATCAGCAGAGTAAGCAGTTACCAATAAGAGCCTCAGCCACAGCAAAGGAAGAAAGTCCATCATAGCTCTT